GTGATGATGACGACGATGATGGTGATGATGACGATGATGGTGATGATGACGATGATGGTGATGATGACGATGATGGTGATGATGATGACGATGATGGTGATGATGACGATGATGGTGATGATGACGATGACGGTGATGATGGTGATGATGACGACGATGATGGTGATGATGACGATGATGGTGATGATGGTGATGATGATGATGGTGAGGATAGTGTGGACGATAATACTGATGGTGATAATGATGATGGAGGTGTTGATTACATGGTGGTGGTGATAGTGATGGTGAAATTGATGATGAAGATGCTGATGATATGGATGCTGGTGATGGTGACGATGGTGATTGTGATGATGAGAGTAATATTGGTATTGATGATACATTTGACATTGATAATAGTATCGTAGTGTTACTGGTGATAATGAGGATGGTGATTGTGATGATAATGATGATGATGATGGTAGAAATATATATTTTTTTAATGATGAGGGTGTTGATGATACTGAGAATGATGACAGTGATAATAGAGATAATGGTGATAGTGATGATGATGGTGAAAGTGGTGATAGTGATTATGATGATGAGATTAATATTGCTAATGATTATGTAGTATTGGTGATAATGGCCATCATGGTGACAGTGACGATGATGGTGATAGTAATGATAGTCATTAATATTGATGATGGTGTTGATGATGATCGTGATAGTGACAATGATGATAGTGATAAAATAATATGATACTGATAATCATAGCTATAAAATAATATTGATAGTTACAATAATACATAAAATACAGAAACAACAAAAAATAGTAAGGATACAAAACCAGAATGCAACAATTGTTTTCCAACAACAACAGCAATATTAAAAACAAAATGACAACAATATCAATATAAAACCCATCAATCACCTGCCACTTAAATTGCTCAGAAACAACAAGAAAACGACAAAAAAATCAACGTCAAAGACAAAACAAGGAATAAGCAGATAAAAAAAAATGTAAGAAAATGACTTTAAAAACAACAATGACATGAACAAAGACTAAATACAAAATACAGCAGTAACTACAACAGCAACATCAATAAGCAATTGTAACACAGCCGCAGCAACGATAATAACATTGGCAACAACAATAACAATGATAATAGCATCTGCAACAACGTCATTAACAATATCAGCAACAACAATACCGCCACCACCAACGTCAACATTATCAACATGAGCAATCTTACTAGCAGCAACGATGGCGGCCCTCCAACAACAACTGCAACACAAACAACAACAGCATATCACTACTAACATCAGCAACAACAGCAATAACAACAACAGCAACAACAATAACAGCAACAGCAAGACAACAACAATAAAGCAACGACAATAACAACAACAGCAACAACAATAACAGCAACAGCAACAAGACAACAACAATAAAGCAACGACAATAGCAACAACAGCAACAACAATAACAGCAACAGCAACAAGACAACAATAAAGCAACAACAATAACAACAACAGCAACAACAAAAATAACAACAACAGCAACAAGAACAACTACAATAATAGCAGCAAGAACAACTACAATAATAGCAACAAGAACAAAAATAACAACAACAGCATATCACCGCCACCAACAACAACAACTTACGTCCCAAGTTCCTCCATGCAATCATGGACTCAGCCGCCGCGCTTTTTGCAATTCCCGAAGTCAAAAATACAACAGCAAACCATATTAGGTGTTGCATTTTCAATACTGTATCGAGTGACGTCATCTCTTCCTGGTGTATTTATATCCAGTCATTTTCTTATTTAAAGATTAAGTTCATTTTTTGGGTATTGTATTTATGAGTTTTATGTGGAAAGTAAATACATATATATTCCGAACATAATATTTTTTTTCTTGTTTTATTTCACAAGGATTTCACTTTTAGTCGAAATGTTCAACACGAATTGGAAATTTTATCATTTCTTTTTATTTCGTTTCACTTCACGAATGGTTATCGAATATCAGTATCGTTTTTAATCGAATAACGAATATTTCTATCGTTATCGTTTCTCTGCTGTTGGAATAATCTATGAGACTGATGTTTTTTTTCCTCCGTTTTACGATACGCTCAGTATAAGGAAAATTTAAAGCCAAATTATTTTCCTGTGTTTTCCTAGTCACTTATTTGTATTTATTTGCTATTATTTTTTTTTTCTTAAATTTATTCTTTTGAAAATACGTATATATAAATTTTCTTTCTGTAAGGGAATAATAATATAATTATTAATCTGCGAAGTACTTCCCTCTATATTTAGGAATATCCTTTTAAATGAACGCAATGAAACTTTCTGTACATCTTTGTTATCAGCGGTTGGTTAATGTCACCAAGAACATGTCAAAACTTGGATAACGAAGTTTGTATATGATAAGAGGGCATATATGGCAGGATAATTTTTATGGTAAATTTCGCCATCCGAGATCCTCTTGCCACCTCACCTGTATGGCCCTTGGCGCTTGGGC